GCTTTGTTGCCGTTCGACGTAACCCTCATGATTTTTGGAGGTTTCTTCGTCAGGTTGAAGTGAGTTTTTAGGTTCACAATATATGACCGGATGTCACCTGGTTTTCTTGCCGCTTGTAGAATTTTTGTGTCATATATTTACGTTATTTTGTTGTTGGTATTGTACTGTATACTCTTCATTTGAAGGTTTTTTTTTTATAGGTAGAGATTTTGGGTACATTTCCTGAGCTTGTGTAGGTGTCGCTTCAAGTCGTGTGTTGCTTGGTTCATGTTGCTGTCGAAACACAGCAAAATATTGAGTCAACCATTTTATGGGATTCAGACAAATCAAGACAGGCAGGAACAATTATAGAGATGGGACAATTTGAGACAGGGACAAATTGATACAGGGACAAATTGAGACAGGGACAATTTGAGATGGGGACAAATTGAGACAGGGACAAATTGAGACAGGGACAATTTGAGACAGGAACAATTTGAGATGGGGACAATTTGAAATGGGGACAAATTGAGACAGCAACAAATTGAGACAGCAACAAATTGAGACAGGGACAATTTGAGATGGGGACAAATTGAGACAGGGACAATTTGAGACAGGGGCAATTTGAGATGGGGACAAATTGAGACAGGGACAATTTGAAATGGGGACAAATTGAGACAGGGACAGTTTGAGACAAAAACAATCCTAATGAGTTTTTCTGCCACAATTTTTGTTTTGTGTCAATGATAAAACATTTTTACAACTTTTGCTAAATTTAAATTTTGAAAAAAGGTTCTCATTGGCGAATGGATCAAAAATCCTGGTAGCTTTTCAAAACCCAACCAAGTATGATTTAAATAAAAACTTTTGACAGGTCATTCAGGCTTTTTCAAATACACTTGAATAAATCTTCCTGGTTTATTAATTCAGGCGTGAATTTTTGTTTTCTCTCTGTATTGGATGAAAAAATAAATAAAGCTAATTGACCGGGAATTTTGTCAATGCATCAATGCAGATATTGCTTCGGCCACCCATGCGTACCGCAGCAGCGACATCTATCCTTATTTTCCTTCGCTAGATAATCAGAATTTCGATGATATATCGCAAGGATTTCTTTGCGTTGATTAAATCTGGAGCAAGTCTTTATTATTTTTTATTCATTGTTATTGGTTTCGTTTCGTGCAATAAATTTAGGCTGTTTCTTGAGCACTGCCTCACCCAGCATAGACGCAGCAACGACAATTGCGGGCACTTTGATGCCCGTGATGATCATGTTTGCTGGGATCTACGCGAATCTCGAGTGAGTTTCCTCGCTTCTATTGCTAATCTTCAATTCAGTCACGTAATTTACACGCAACTAATGATGTGTATATATATATATTCTGTAAATGGAGACAGTTTAACCGGATTAACCTTTTTTTTTTTCATCCATGCTTTCCAGAACCTTGTTGTTGTGCAGTCGGCGTGTATATGTATAATCATGACGACATATGTGATGATGTTTGCCGGTGATGGAAGTTCGGTTTCGGTGATGGGAACTTTGTTGTGCTGATGAAAAGATGGGTTCGTGTGTGTCTTCGGGCCCTGGGATATCTGATGTGTGGAGTTGAATATGGTGCGGGTTTATTGTATATTATTTTTTATTTAGAGGAACGAGAGTTTAATTCGGTTTTTTTTATTTAAAAATTTTGTGCTGGACTTTTGCAAAGTCACTGTATTATGGGGAATCTTTATTTTTATGGAAGCAATCGGAAAATGTGTATTTCTTTATTTGGGTGCAAACTAATGTAACTTCTGTTGTGTGGGTTGAACCTGATCTTGAAGGTTGTGTAGAGGCAATTTGAGGTTTATTATTATTTTTATTCTTCAATTGGACCTCTGGATTGGATACTGAGAAAATGATCTGATAAAATATATTGATATGAAGAGTGAAATATACTGTACAAAGGGAACCCCCACATGCAGACAATTTGGCATACGGACACTTATTTTCCCATGAAAAATTAATAAAAAAGGTCAAACAGGAGGACACTGACTTGACATGGGGTCATTTTGTGATAAAATTGCAGATAAGTTTCAGGCCAAATTGTAAGAAATAGATATTTAACCCTAAAATTTATGTAAGAAAAGTTCTGGCATTTCTCTCGCCAATTTACCATCCATTTAGCTAATTTAAAAAAATTACCTCAAGCATAGAGGGACTTCCTTCTCTCTTTTTCACTTAAATGTTATTTTTACAGAGAATGCCAACATTTCTATGTACTGTACAGAGGTATCAGTATTCAATTCCCTAAATGTTTGTATTGTGTTGAAATATATTGATTGAATCAGTTTCAATTTGGAGAAAATTTTAATTTTCATGGAATCATGGTAATTTGTCCATAAAACACCAAATGAAAATTATACAGTATAAGGCTAAGCAAAAATGAAACTTGATTTAGGGACACTTCTGATGCACCATTTATGTCTGCATCTTGGGGTCTCACTGTGTACACATATGCCACACTTCACTAATCCTTTGATGAAAGAAATTTAATAATGAAGAAGCAAAGCTACTCAAACTACTTGTCCAAAGAAAATTTTGTTCTGTTCTCAAAATCCCTGTGAAAGTACTGTAATGTAAAAATAGGTATTTTTGAACAATGGTCAGTTTCAGAGGAAAATAGAAGTGAGTGGTTTTTTTGAATGGTTTTCTCTAATTTTTCGGAATTAGCATATCTAATAATTCTTCAAACATAGGTGCTGTTATGGAAAAATTAATAATTGGAACGTGAGCAGATCTGTTTTGGGGGCATTTTTTTTTAAAGAATGGTTTGCATGACGGTTTCTTTTTTTAAATCATGTTTGGTGTGCATGAATTTATGAGAAAGATCGAGGAAAGAAATTGAGGAGCAGTGTGTATTGAATTATATTTGTTTTTTTCCTGGAATTCGCAGCTCTTTGTCTCCTTATCTGAGCTGGATTCAGTGGGTGTCTTGGTTCAGGTATTCGACCGAAGCTCTGATGGTGACGCAGTTTGATGGCATTGAAAACATCAGTGAGTTTTTCAGTTGCAAATTATTCTCTGACTATAAGAAGAAGGGCAAAGAACATTTTTTTCCAAAGAATATTTCCTGTGGAGAATTGAAAGATGAAATGCACAAATATTTTTTTTGAGTATTGCATGACAAATCAGACAAGACGATTTTGACCATCTTTTAGCTCTGGGTATTGCAGCTCATTATTTTTTTGTCTGTGTATAAGATGATCTCTCCATTTTTATTTTTTTTATAATTCATCATGCATTTTTTGTGCTAATTTTTGATCCAAAAATGATTACTGTCAGGTGTCTCCCTATAATGGCTGGCATTGTTTCGGCATGAACAACTTAGATTTGAGTTTCAATTCAAGTTCAATTTGAATTGAGCAAACAGTTTATTGATTGGTCAAAATGTATGTTATTTTTATTTTCCAGAAGACAAATGATTAGGACAATACCTGGAAAAATGAATAAAGTGATAAATAAACAAGGATTCTTCTTCAATTTTATCCTTAATTGAAAAAAGAACAGGGAAATGTCAACCAAACTTGAGTTTTGTTCAAAGGTTCAGGGGAAGAATTCCTTATTTTTTTTTTAAATGACTGAGGATTTAGACTGATGAGGAAGAGTGCCATTCTGCCACCAGCCATTTTTTTCAACAGAAATGTACCATCAAAATATCTTGGAGGACCAGGAAAATCTGTTAGCTTTATTTGATTTCTCTGCAAAGATTCATTAAACATTCTTTAATCAAGCAGTAATTATCTGGGAACATGCTGAACACCTTGTGTTTTAATTTGTGCACAGTACAGTGAGACCCTGAGATGTGGATGGAATTGGTGCATATCAAGAGTGTCCCTAAGTCAAGTCTCACTTTGCCTTAGACTTACATTATATAATTTTAATTGGTGTTTTATAGACAAAATACTCACCATAATTCCATGAAAATAAAAATTGTCTCCCCATGTTAACTGATTCAATCAATATATTTTGACACAATATGGACATTTGGGAATTGATAATTAGCCAAATGGATGGTAAATGGGCAAGAGAAATGCCCAAGAACTTTTCTTACACCAATTTTAGGGTTAGAAATATCGGTTTCTTATTGTAATTTGGCTTGAAACTTATTTGCAGTTCATCACAAAATTTCCCTATGTTAAGTCAGTGTCCTCATGTTGGGCCATTTTTATAAACTTTTTTATGGGAAAATAAGTGTACCTATGTCAAATGGTCCACAGGTTTAGGTGTCTGCATGTGGGTGTCTAACTGTAATTGCATTATATGCAGTGATTTTTTTTCTTCAAAAATAAGTATAATGCCAATTCCTCATTATGATGGGTGGGGCAAAATATTTTGAACCTTGTGAATGCTGACAATGAAGCTTTTATATCAATCAATGGTGTGTGTGTTAAATTCTGAAGATTATTGAAATTGAATCTTTTTTTCCTTCCTCTGTTCTCTCGCCCACCTTTATAATACAGCTTGCACAGCGGAAGTTCAGACCGAGTACTGCATTAGCACCGGAGCACAAGTACTGGAAATGTACTCTTTCCACGCGGATTTTTACGCCTGGGACTTGATCATCTTGTTGGCCATGTATGTTGTGTTTCATTTCATGTCTTACTTGGCATTGTCTCGTCGAGCCCGGAAAATCGCGGCTTAATTGTAGGTCTTTTTTTTTCGCTTACTCGGTTATATAGAATCTCCGTGGGGGGGAAACAAGCCTTGTTTTTGTTTCATTTTCACACTTCGAAAAGCAGTTTTCTGAACCGAGTCAAGCGCTTTTTTTTTTTTCAGGAAAGAAAAGTCATCATTCTTACTGGAAAAATGGTACAGTTGAACTTCCCTGACTCGAATTTTTTTGTCAAGTCCTTGTCTGGATTCCCTTGGAAACAATGAATTAAAAACCTCACCAAAACTATAAGTATTTTTCTCTCAAACCTCAGTATATGAAATAACTCAGATGAAAATGTAATGATTTTGCCTTTTCTTGCTTGAAGATGTGATATTTTGTGCATGAAAGTTATCTCGATTTGCATTTGGTCAATTTTGGTGTCCTTATGTTCACATGTGATTTCTAAATATTATTGCACCTAAAAATAGAATCAAGTTTGTATACACTTGAACCGTGATAATAAGTCCAACCTCCTCAAGTCAAATATCTCCCGAAGTTAATTTTTATTTGAGTCCCTGTCTGGATTCCTTTAGAAACAAACAATGCATTAAAAACCTGCCTAACTCAAAGTATTTTTCAATCACAAGCCTCTGTAAGTCAAATTTTCTGAGGCCTTTCGGTTATTATTTCCTTGAAATATGAAAGAGAAAATCAATGAAACAAATGATTTTATGCATCTTGAAATCAAGTGAAAGACTAATTGAACAAATGAACCCCTGCCTCAACCAAGTTCAGCAAGCTGTAAACTCATTAAGAAGCAAGTTTAGGCCCAGAATATCCTCATCTACAATTTCCCACATTTTTTTTTTTACTTTTCCTCACAGCAAAAATGTTTGTTTCCTTTTCTCAAAACTTCAAAAAATCTAAACCTCCCTGAATCAAATTTTTTACCTGATCCCTAGAAATTTGACTTGGAGAGGTTCAACTGTATTTTGAATTTTACTTCAGTAGTAAATGAATAATGGCTTGGGTACATTTTACAGGTTAGACTCTCATTTTGTTTCCTAGTACCATATAAAAAAATTAATGCACATTTGTGTGTGTGTGTGTTTGTTCAGAAGATCAAAAATTCAGTTCTGAATTTTTTCTTTTGTTTCTAGATCCAACTCTTGAGGAAAAATTAATATCTAGAATGTTCAAGTTGCATATTTGAAATTTTTAAGCTCATGAACCAACATTTTTGAAAAATTTTATAAAATACATTTCCCTGATTTGAAGCACTTTATTTTGGGGGGGGGGTAAATACAAATTGTCTGAAAATCGTGCTTGGCTCATTTTCGTGGAAATTTTGGATTTTTTAAAAAGATTTCTTGGCACAAACATCTGCAAGAGGTTCTTTCCTCTGTGTCAAAACAGTGAAGTTTCCAGAGGGAGAAGGTTTTCAAATATAATGGCTTTGACTACATTTAGCGTTTCGAATATAATGTTGTACTTTGCCTTGCTTCTGTCTTTGTCTATTTTTTCCCCTCGGGTGTGTAGAAAGCGTTTTTTTTTCATTGCGAATTTGTGCCATTTCTCGCATTGATGCTCGTTGAAACGTTGGGATGGAGAGGTTTGAATAAATACCATTCGCTCAATTTCATGGACTGCTTTCTGCTCATCCAGAACTTTTTTTGAAACAGGTGTTTTATTTGTTCAAGAGTGATAATTAATGGGATGTTGTAAAGGAAGTCATTTGGCAATTCTTGTGAAGAAGATATGCCGATTTGGAACCTTTTTCCAGAGTTATGGTATTAAATTGGCCCCAATAACAAACATGAAATATTACAATGCATGACCCGTTTTTGCTTGTATATACCTAAACTTGAAATGCAATCAAATCTAAAATTTCAGATGCAACTTTACAGGTTTCTATTACTTTTTAAAACGCAGTATAAAAAGTTTTCTTGCCAGTCAGATGAGCAACAATTTATTTTGGCCAAGTGTAAATGATTGGAAAAATTTGAAGTATTTTTCACAGTGGAGGAAAATCAGCAGGTTTGCATTTTCCCAATCGTTCTATTAGAACATTCTTTGCTTCAAAACATAACTTTTTGGAAATGTCCATGCCTTATACTGCAAACATGGAGGTGTGTTGGAAACAATCCTTTTCATTTGAATCTCAGTAGTTCTTTGAATCTTTCACTGAAGTTTTTTGACTGTTCATTTGAAAAAGTACTTGATCAGAGGAAAATATGGATGAAGAAATTTTTAAAACTCTAAAATCACAGATTATAATACTGTATTTACTTGAGTACCACAGACCCTCAAGTGAGTTGTGCATCTGGTTTTTTTTTCATCCTGAAATTTGCATGAAATACCTAACCCAAGTACTGTATAAAGAGGCTCAGCCCAGTTTTAGTGACTGAAACATGGAACATTTTGAAATTTTTAAAACACCAGAAGATGAATTTAGACATGAATCAATTGAGAATTCCATCAACTGTAAATTATCCACAATTTAAAATTCGTTTTAGGAATGGCTGAAATGTTTTTCATTAGCATTGAAATGGACATGCACCTGAACTTCTTGAAATTTTTAAACCTTTTGCAGCAGCATCAGATGATGCATGATTTTCTTTGTTTTTTCCTCTTGAAAAAATGTTGCTGTAACTCTAGTAAATTCAGTACTGTAAAATATACAGTATACCGTATTTATTCAAGTACCACTTGCACCTTTTTTCCCAAATTTCAGAAGAAAAAAACGGGTGCGCGTCATAAGCAGGTACCAAATTTTCAAGAAGTTTTAGGAAGTTATGTTTGCATTACACTTAATTGTAATGGAGAAATTTGGAACAAATAAAAAAAGAAAACATTTTAGTATTGAAAAAGTTGAAAATTCATCAGATTTTTGATCAATTAACGCCTAAAGTCAATTTTTTGTTTTTATTTTTGAAATTTTATGGTTTAGGTTTACTAAAAATTGGGGTGCGCGTCTTACTCCGGGATAAGATTTTTGCAAAATTGTCAAGTGAAAAACCCCTGTGCGCGCCTTACTCGAGGGCGCGTGGTACTGGAGTAAATACGGTAGTTCTGTACTATAATAGATTTTTTACAATTTTAATCCCACAAACAATTAATTTCCTCATGGGAATGCTTGTGTGTAAAATAAAATTAAAATTATATTGCATTAGCTAAGGTACACTCAAACTTGTGAGATTTGCTTGATCCATGGTCTGGCTGCTGTGACTCTGGCAAAAACCCCAAAGCGTCCCAGGGATGCCCTCGCGATGCCCCAGGAAACGACGCCTGCTTGGATCCATCCTGCTCCGCCATCAACTTTACACACCAAAGGACCTCCTCTGTCTCCCTGTAAATAAATACAAATATTTACATATATACTGTATAGGTATATACAGAAAAATCTGGTTACAATATACTTTTGTGGACCTCAGAAAAAGTTTGTTAGATTGTATAATTTTTTGTAATCAGATTTTCAAAATTAATGACTGGGAAAACTGTCACATATCAGACCTCCCTATAAATGATGAAATCTTGGTTTTGTGACATACACTCAGATTTTTTTATTGTTTAAAAACCTGAGTGATTTTTTGAAACAATTAGCTTGAGTCATATGTTCTATGATAAGATTTAATTATTTATAGGGAGATCTGATGTGTGACAGTATTTTTCCAGTCATTAATTTAAAAAATCTGATTATAACAAATCATTCAGCACAACAAACTTTTGTGGACCTCAGAAAAAGTTTGTTGTATTGAGTTATTTGTTGTAATGAGATTTTCAAAATTGATGGCTGGGAAAACTGTCACATTGCAGACCTCCCTATAAATGATTGAATTTTGTTTTTGTGATATAATCTCAGATTATTTTTATTATTGTTTGAAAACCTGAGTGATGTCTCAACAATTAGCTTGAGTCATAAATTCCATGATAAGATTTAATAATTTATTGTGAGGTCTGATGTGTGACAGTATTTTTCCAGTCATTAATTTTGAAAATCTGATGATAACAAGTTATTCAGCAGTCAGCACAACAAACTTTTGTGGGCCTCAGAAAAAGTTTGTTGCACTGAGTTGTTTGTTTTGATGAGATTTTCAAAATTGTTAGCTGGGAAAACTGTCACATATCAGACCTCCCTATAAATGATTGAATCTTGCTTTTGCGATGTACTCAGATTTTTTATTATTGTTTGGAAACCTAAGTGAGGTTTTTTTTTTAAATAGCTTGAGTCATATGTTCCATGATTTGCACCAATATTTCTTCATTCTAGGTGGATGATGTGTGGAAAAAACTAAAGTACTGTATGTTTGTCCTCCATTACTGCTTCCAACCATGCTTCAAGAACCATTAGTCAGGAAATTTCTACCTGTAGAATCTATTAAACATTTTGTTGCAGACACATAAGAAGAGGAAACTGATGAAGTTTTCCACCAGCATTAGCTGTGCCAATTGATGCACACAGTACAGCAGTAATTATTCCTTCAATTTTTTTTTTGGCCAATGAGAGGACATCCAAGAAATTTGATGGAATGTTTTGTTCTACATGTGGCAAGAGAGTTCCAGGAAATTATTGAGAGAGGAATTTTTCTTTGAAGTTACAAGCTGTCTTCTTTGAACTCTTGGATGAGAAATATCACTCTTATCTTTCTTCATTTGATTTGTGCACAAAAAATCTGACGTTTTATTTTGTTTGATTTGATCTTGTGTGTTGAATATTTATTGTGTTGGATTTTTAAAATCTTGGAATTGAGGAAAACTGAAGAAAATGTCATACAAAACTATATAGGAACACATACATATTCAAGGTGTCCCTTTGAATATGTGTTCCTAGCTTGTATTTTACTCCTTGAAATTTGTTCCTTTTATGGTGGGAAATTGAACCCAGTACCACACTTTCTTCAAAAAACTGTGTTATACTGGAATTGTGAAGTTTTTTAAAACAAGATTGCTTCAACATTTATTCTATGGGACTTCTGTTATTGGGACTTGAGATTAAATTTGTTGTACTGGTAAATTTGTTGTAACAATAAGATTTTACTGCATGGCAGTAAAAATAAAATGAAACTGTGTCAGTATCCTTTTGGATCACTGGCATAGTCTTTTTGTGTGTAGAGTATACATGGTTATTTTGTTGATGACTTTGTTGTATAGTTACAGTACTTTTGGACTGTAGTTTTCCCCTCTTTCTCCTCTGTAGCCAGCGCAGATCATTGAGTGGTCAACCTTGCGTCCGTAGGCCTCTTCGCAGGCAGAAAAGGAAATCAGACTGAGTTTGGCATCACTGAGTTCCACAGCCATGACTTCTGCGTATTTAATATCCCGGGTTCTTTCCGAGTCCTTCACAGCCTTGCCCCAGCCAACAACAAAGCATTCGCCTCCACCTTATTTATACATAGATATAGAAAAGAAACGCAATATCACAGGTGGACTCTCTCTTCATCTCCACAATGACCTATATCTTGTATCAGTTGTATGTAACAATTTTCACTCTATACAGTATAAAGAATGTTTGTGATCCAATGCATTGGGTTCTCACTATGTTATAGGCATTCTAAAAAAAATTCTCTCTGCTGCCAATGTTTTATGGTCCTTTGAATTTTGTTGTATGGAGTTTCAAACCATTATAGAACAACATTTACTGGAGTACCAGCACAGGCACCTTTTTTTCTTTCAAATTCAAGAGGAAACAAGGGGGATTGATCACATGTGGGTAATACATATTTTTCAAAAATTGTTAGTAGCATTTAGGTGTGCTATGCCTGATTATAATGAACAAATTTTGACCAATTATTGTGACAGAAAAACTAATTTCATTTCAAATGATAAAAAATTCTATGAATTAAGGTTTACTTCATGTCTAAATTCTAATTTGGGCATGAGTATTTTTGGAATATTGCAGTTTTTTAGCATCACTGAAGTGAGGTTCGCTATTATTGGGGATACAATTTATCCAAAATTTTGGACTGAATAGCACTGGGGCAAGTTTTACTTGAGTTTGCATATGGTACTCAATTAAATACATTAAATTTGTCAAATAACAAAGACACAGATGTTGGAATTTAAGCTGTTCAAAAGAAAAGATAGGACAGCACTCTTTTTTGTTCATTGTATACAGGTATCCACAAAAAGTATTCCAAACTTGTCAAAAAATTATTCCAAATTTTTCAAAAAATTATTCCAAATTTTTCAAAAAATTATTCCAAATTTAAAAAAAAATTATTCCAAATGAGAATGGAAAAGTGCTGGGGAAAACATTGAAAGAATTTCTTTTTGGGACTGAATCTTTCCAGATTAAATTCTGCTGCAATTTATAAAACTACACTTGAGCAATAATGGTTCAGAAGAATTTATAAATTCTTTCCTATAACCCAAATAATTTACTTTCATAAAAATAATCGTCAATGTGCTGCAGGATAAAAACAGACACCATATATGCTTCAGGGTTTAAAGTCTAAGACTTGAAAAGCCTTGATGGAATCATCATTTTAAACAATGCTATTCCACAACCATACACATATGGAAAGAATTACTCACTTAATAGTTGAGTATTTGGCAAAGGAAGTGCAATCATTTGTATCAGCCTGCCCTTTTCCTTGATGTGATGCCGCAGTTCGTACAATGCAAAATCATAAGAGTGCACCATATTTCCCAGACTATTTGGAAATGTGGGATTCAGAGCTGTGTCAATTGAGGACACAAAAATAAAATATAAAAAAGTTTCATTCTTACTTTGGATGGAGATGTATTTCCTGGACAGGAATGGTTTGTTCTGCAGGCAACTCTTCTTTCACCAAATTATGAACTCCAACTGAAACCTTTTTTTTGGGGGGGGACCAAATTGATTATTCTTAAATAATTCATCATGCAAGGGTTGTCCCACTTGGACGCGACCTGGATATTTTTAGAGTATGTGTAATTCTATAGAAATATATAAAATCTTTTGAAATCCTGGGATTTTTTCACATTTTTAAAAACAGCTTTTTTAGTTCTACTAGATGATGAGTGAAAACTTTTACAGCCAGATTTCTCCACACATGTCACAGGGTGCTAAAAAGATTTCAGGCTAGTTACAAATTTTGAGTTCTTGTTGCATTAACCATTATCTGGAATGCAGAATAGATAATGAATAAAGCTTTTTGCCATTCTGACAACATTTTAGCACCCTGCAACACAGGCTTAACTGATGGAAATTTTTCACAAATTGAAAAACTTTTTTAATTCAGAAAAAATGTCAAACATTGTGGGCTGTGTCATGATTTAATAAAATTATATTTGGTGTGTTGGTTGAAAAGAAGAAAGTCATAACATAAGCCCATGCTATTCTAAAAGCTCTGAGTGTTTTTGGATTACATTTTTTTTTCAATTTACTGCATGTAGGTGAGTGAAACCTTTCCATATTGCAGTCAGATTTGACACGGGTACAGTGTCCCACAATGTTTGTAAACAGTCCGGCCGATTTTTTTACTTGAAAAACGACAAAGTGGGTAATGGAAAAGATGTAAAATCTATTACCAACTTCATTTGTTATTAGGTAAAAAAAGCTAGTCTGGCAAATGCTTAGCCCCCTGCTGTGACATGGGTGGAGAACACTGATAGTCACTGGAAATTATTCACTTATATCATCATGCCATGAATATTAGAAAAAATTGTCATGGAAAAAGAAATCCCAGAAAAGTGAAACTTGATGGGCTAAGTCCTTATTCTTTTTTTTTTTTTACAATCATACACTGACTCTAAAAATATCAGAGGTCGCGTCTAACTGGGACAACCCTCGTATGATGAGTCCATCAAATGGAATAACACCATGTGAGGGGAATTTGTTGTCATGCATGTCATACCATGAAATTGGTCACATTTGGATCAACTGCGGCCCATTGACGAGAAGACAAAATGTACTTGGGTGAGATGATTGATCCAACGCAATGGAATACTCCCTTGTACTTGACCAATGCCACAAAGGGGTACTTTCCTGCAAAGAGTACCTTCAAGTGCTGCTCTTAATTCTGACACACCATGCAGTACAGCACTGTACACATATTATTTGCACTTTCCCTCCTCAGAAACATAAAACTGGAGAACAGTTGCTCAGCAAAGTTCAAAATATGCCACTATACATGCAAGAAATCCAAAAACGGGACGAACTTACTTTTCTTATTTACTTCGAAGTTAAACCGAACTTATAGGTCCTGTTTTAAACAACCTCCTCAGTAAAACGTAAACGACCGTTCAAAAAACGATCCGTAAACGTAAATCTGGGCATTTGCTAGGCATTTTCATTTTCTGGGCATTTGCTATGCATTTGCTAGGCATTTGTCAGGCATTTGCTGGGCATCTGTTAGGCATTTGCAAGGCATCTGTTAGGCATTTGCAAGGCATTTTTTAGGCATTTGAATGCATTTGCTAAGCATTTTAATGCATTTGCTAGGCATTTGTTAGGCAATGCATCAGTGTACTTTCTTGAGGGAAAATGTGATTTGGTAACAAAATGCCTGTATTTGGTTAACAAACTGTGCTCAGTAATGGATCAAGTTTGCACATAAACCAAGACCCCACTGTATTAAAATTAATAAAATATTCAAATTTGTTTATATTAATACCTGGATAAGATTCTTTCTTGGATTTCTGCTTGATGCTCTTGCTTTGCGATGACCCCTTATTCCCTTTCTTGAAGGTTTTTGCCCTGCTTGAATGAAAAGAATAAATGAAGCTTCAATTTGGCTTGAATATCCAGGACAAAATTTGTTGGAGGAGTCATTTTGCATTTGCTGGCAAGTTTTTTGCTAGGCATTTGCATTTGCTGGGCATTTGCATTTTCTGGGCATTTGCTATGCATTTGCTAGGCATTTGTTAGGCATTTGCTGGGCATCTGTTAGGCATTTGCAAGGCATCTGTTAGGCATTTGCCAGGCAATTTAAGGCATTGGCTAGGCAATTTTAAGGCATTTGCAAGGCATTTGCAAGGCATTTGCAAGGCATTTGCTAGGCATTTGTTAGGCAATGCATCAGTGTACTTTCTTGAGGGAAAATGTGATTTGGTAACAAAATGCCTGTATTCGGTTAACAAACTGTGCTCAGTAATGGATCAAGTTTGCACATAATGGTTCTGGGGTGACATAATTTTAATTATTTTATAAGTTTAAACAAATATAATTATGGACCTATTCTAAGAAAGAACCTAAAGACGAACTACGAGAACGAAACGCTACTGGGGAATAAGGGAAAGAACCCCTTCTTATTCCTCTTCTTATCCTCCTTCCACTTGCTGTTGGTCGTGCTGGGATTGCCGTTGTTGTTGAGTAAGCCGGCAAGGAGGAATTCATCCGCTTCTGTGGAGTCATTTTGAACATCATACTTGGTGACGATGGCAGAATTATTCATCATCCCTGATGGTGCAGTGATGCTCAAAACATGGTCTCTTCCAGTAGCATTCTTCGAATTCTCAACTAGGCTACAGTCTGGGTCCCCTTGGTAAAATACGGATACAACCCGGTCTGAAGAAGATGATGATGATGATGGCGAGTGGCTGGTTGCATCGTCCAAGCCTGATGGGCCGTAGTAGCAGGTTCTACTGAGTAGAAGCGCACTGAGTAAGCCTCAGCAACACACCACAACTTATGAATCCATGCTGGGAAGTTGCTAAAAGTAAAGTCAATGTCCACAGCTACTTATTTTACGGTTTATTTATTCATGGATGCGAATACATCCGCTTGTGTGTATATAGAAGTGCTTTTATATGGCTTTAGGTGTAATTATGATGTTACAGTGGGGCCCCGAGATGCGGACATGTTGATTGTTGAATCATATTTTTCTCTCAGAATTTAATGAGAATTCATTTAATTTTTTCTCTGCTGGGAATTTGATCAAAGATTAGGATTAAGTACACCATCAGAGAGGTAGATTTATTGGGTGCCTCCCAAAAAACACAATAAATTTAGCCATTTTTTTATCATGAATTTGAGTAAATTTATAATTGAAGTCATTTTTAATTTGTGTAGATGAACAAAAAATTAGCTCAAGTTCAATAAGAGATATCAAAATTTGTGAAAATTAAAATCTTATAATTGTCTTGAAATTTTGAAAAGTATCTGAATATTCAAACATTGTCAGGATGTGGGGACTAATGTTTATTTTTTAATAGGGCAAATTCAAGACAGACAATTGAGACAGGGCCAATTTGAGACAAAGACTTTTTGAGACAATGAAGGACTAATTGAGAAATAAGCATTTCCTTGCTTTCATTCCTCTCTTATTGATTCATTGTAATGGACATGAAAAACATTAGAACTTTTTTATAAATATTGGCAGGAGTAAACTGCACAAAATATTCTCCTCTGGTCAAGAAAATTTACACAAATTTTTAAACATAACACTGTGTATGGAAAAACATTTATATCATGCAAGTATAACAATGAACAATTTCTGACAAAGCATACATTTCAAGTATTTCAACTTTGAAAAGAACGTAAAATTCCCCAAGATTTACCAAGAATCTTTGGGAAATCCAGAAAATTTAGAGAAAATAAAACAAAAACTTGTGTGTGCAGACTGCAGACTTACTTTAGGACTGTCTCAAATTGTCCCTGTCTGTCCCTGTCTCTGAATTTAAATGTCTAAAATTGTCCCTCTCTCAAATTGTCTCGGTGTTAAATAGTCCCAATCTTGAATTTTCTGTCTCAATTTGTCCAGTNGCTAGTCTGGCAAATGCTTAGCCCCCTGCTGTGACATGGGTGGAGAACACTGATAGTCACTGGAAATTATTCACTTATATCATCATGCCATGAATATTAGAAACAATTGTCATGGAAAAAGAAATCCCAGAAAAGTGAAACTTGATGGGCTAAGTCCATATTCTTTTCTTTTTTTTACAATCATACACCGACTCTAAAAATATCAGAAGTTTCGTCTAACTGGTACAACCCTTGTATGATGAGTCCGTCAAATGGAATAACACCATGTGAGGGGAATTTGTTGTCATGCATGTCATACCATGAAATTGGTCACATTTGGATCAACTGCGGCCCATTGACGAGAAGACAAAATGTACTTGGGTGAGATGATTGATCCAACGCAATGGAATACTCCCTTGTACTTGACCAATGCCACAAAGGGGTACTTTCCTGCAAAGAGTACCTTCAAGTGCTGCTCTCAATTCTGACACACCATGCAGTACAGTACAGTACAGTACAGCACTGTACACATATTATTTGCACTTTCCCTCCCCAGAAACATAAAACTGGAGAACAGTTGCTCAGCAAAGTTCAAAATATGCCACTATACATGCAAGAAAAGGTTTTTGCCCTGCTTGAATGAAAAGAATAAATGAAGCTTCAATTTGGCTTGAATATCCAGGACAAAATTTGTTGGAGGAGTCATTTTGCATTTGCTGGCAAGTTTTTTGCTAGGCATTTGCATTTGCTGGGCATTTGCATTTTCTGGGCATTTGCTATGCATTTGCTAGGCATTTGTTAGGCATTTGCTGGGCATCTGTTAGGCATTTGCAAGGCATCTGTTAGGCATTTGCCAGGCAATTTAAGGCATTGGCTAGGCAATTTTAAGGCATTTGCAAGGCATTTGCAAGGCATTTGCAAGGCATTTGCTAGGCATTTGTTAGGCAATGCATCAGTGTACTTTCTTGAGGGAAAATGTGATTTGGTAACAAAATGCCTGTATTCGGTTAACAAACTGTGCTCAGTAATGGATCAAGTTTGCACATAATCCAAGACCCCACTGTATTAAAATTAATAAAATATTCAAATTTGTTTATATTAATACCTGGATAAGATTCTTTCTTGGATTTCTGCTTGATGCTCTTGCTTTGCGATGACCCCTTATTCCCTTTCTTGCCCTTCTTATTCCTCTTCTTATCCTCCTTCCACTTGCTGTTGGTCGTGCTGGGATTGCCGTTGTTGTTGAGTAAGCCGGCAAGGAGGAATTCATCCGCTTCTGTGGAGTCATTTTGAACATCATACTTGGTGACGATGGCAGAATTATTCATCATCCCTGATGGTGCAGTGATGCTCAAAACATGGTCTCTTCCAGTAGCATTCTTCGAATTCTCAACTAGGCTACAGTCTGGGTCCCCTTGGTAAAATACGGATACAACCCGGTCTGAAGAAGATGATGATGATGATGGCGAGTGGCTGGTTGCATCGTCCAAGCCTGATGCCGGCATCATCGTCCAAGATGACTCATCTTCGCGTGACTCATTCGGAGTCGTTGTGTGGTGTTGAATACTTAGGTACGACCCTTCAACGATTTTCATTTCAGTTACAGGTGTCGATGAATAAAATGCATTTATTTATTCATGGATGCGAATACATCCGCTTGTGTGTAAAAGGGTTTTTATATATGGGCTGAGGTGCAAATATGATGGATGTTACCGTGGGGCCCCGAGATGCGGACATGTCGATTCTTGAATCATATTTTTCTCTCAGAATTTTATGAGAATTCATTTAATTTGTTCTCTGCTGGGAATTTGATCAAAGATTAGGAATAAGTACACCATCAGAGAGGTAGATTTTTTTAAGGTTTGTGGCAAAAAGCACAAATTTAGCCATTTTTTTCATCATGAATGTGAGTAAATTTATAATTGAAGTCATTTTCGATTTTTGTAGATGAACAAAAAATTAGCTCAAGTTCAATAAGAGATATCAAAATTTGTGAAAATTAAAATCTTATAATTGTCTTGAAATTTTGAAAAGTATCTGAATATTCAAACATTGTCAGGATGTGGGGACTAATGTTTATTTTTTAATAGGGCAAATTCAAGACAGACAATTGAGACAGGGCCAATTTGAGACAAAGACTTTTTGAGACAATGAAGGACTAATTGAGAAATAAGCATTTCCTTGCTTTCATTCCTCTCTTATTGATTCATTGTAATGGACATGAAAAACATTAGAACTTTTTTATAAATATTGGCAGGAGTAAACTGCACAAAATATTCTCCTCTGGTCAAGAAAATTTACACAAATTTTTAAACATAACACTGTGTATGGAAAAACATTTATATCATGCAAGTATAACAATGAACAATTTCTGACAAAGCATACATTTCAAGTATTTCAACTTTGAAAAGAACGTAAAATTCCCCAAGATTTACCAAGAATCTTTGGGAAATCCAGAAAATTTAGAGAAAATAAAACAAAAACTTGTGTGTGCAGGCTGCAGACTTACTTTAGGACTGTCTCAAATTGTCCCTGTCTGTCCCTGTCTCTGAATTTAAATGTCTAAAATTGTCCCTCTCTCAAATTGTCTCGGTGTTAAATAGTCCCAATCTTGAATTTTCTGTCTCAATTTGTCCAGTATCAGATGGTCTGTCTCATTTTACCTGTATCCTTTTTTTTATTAAACTCAAGTATATGACCCTTCAACAATTTCCTTTCAGTTACTGGTATCAAGAAATAAAATCGTTCTTGATATGAATCCACTTCTAAAAGTGTATATATGTGCTGATGTATAATATATATGCTTGTACAGTGGAGCCCCAAGATATGGAAATAATCGTCAGATAACATTGTCTTGTATAATTTAATTTTAACTTACTGCATTTGTTCTCCAGTTTTAAGAAAAATTAGGAATGAGTTGCCCACATTATTGTATGAAAATTGTTTTCCTCAACTTCAAGATGCAGAAATTAGCTGTTTAGAAGAAAGCCACAAAAAGGACCATTTTGGAGGCAAGGGTTAATTTGCCCAATTATTTTCTTTTGAAGAGCATTATCAGATTTTTGTTGCTTTTCCCTTTCTTGAGTACCCAGACCAATTATCCAAAGGCCTCAAGATATTTAAGTTGCAGGGGTTTGAAGGAAAAGGTCTTCATTTAGGTAAGTTTATTAGTTATACATTAGAGGGAATTAAGACAGAAGGACTAAAAATTGACATACAGGGAACTTTTGAAATGGGGGAGGCCATTATAGATATCAAGGGCCAACTTTAATTTGTATGCATGTGTGAGGGAAGATTTATTGTTCATTCAGGTATTTTATATAAATTGTTGAAGTGATGTTTGTCAGTGTTGAAAATGGTGAATGTATGGTGTTGAAGAGAGAGAGTTAGTGAAAGTAAGTAGATTGTAATAAATACCAAAAAATCTTACATGAATGTAAATGAGTTGAAGCAAAAATTCATAATATACAAGGTGGACCAGGAAACAATGGACCAATAAAGAAAAGTTGTCAATATAAAGATTTGACCATAGGCAATTGAAAAATATGTTCATCTCTTGTCATGAAAGTGTTCTTCAAAACTATCCATCAATTCCTCTGTTAGGATAATTACCTCTTACCTGATTTTTGATGAAAACCGAATCTCAATTAATAAATTGGTTTCCAGGTCACTAAAGCTGTTTGCATATTTCAAAATCAGCCCTCCCTCAAGCCTGTTGGCATAAAAAGAACCTGATTCAAGGCAGATTTTATATTCAATTGAATTTTTTAATAATTAAATAAAATTTCTGATCACAAGATTATAGTCCTTTAATTGTAAATCAAGAGGTTACATTTTCAAAAAATTCAAATGACTCAGAATACATAATAAGTCATCTAATTTAGAAATTATACTGCCTTGTACTTTAAAAATATGTTGTCTGTAGAAGGATTCCAATGACTCAAAAAATCCAGAGCTCATGTAACTTTAGCAAAAAAATTTAGTAGATTAAAAAATTAATCTAAAAAACCACGTTTTGAAAAAGGAAAAAATAACCTTAAACGTGGTGAAAAATTTGATCCGGACAAACAAACGGACAAGAAAGCAAGTTAATAAAAACGTGTTAAAAATGGCTCTGTGCTTGATGGAACTCATGATATGTATTATTGGAGGAAAATAAATGGGACTCCAATGACTCAGAGAGATGAAAATATTTTTCTTGAATATGAATGGAAATTTGTGAGCTTCATGCAGACATACCCAGATCCACGTTGTCCATAGAGTCCCAATGTGAATCATAATCAGACATTTTGTAAGGCACATGTTGAGTGTCTAATACATTTCTCCCATCATCTGATGCTGAATGAATGCAATGCTTGAAAAGCAGGATTGACCACCAAAGTCCCCTCACTAACACCACAGTGGACATCACCTTTTCTTTTTTTTTTTTATCTTCTTTTCCCCTTGAAGATCACATTTGCTTCACTATCTTCAAAAAGCAGTTTTGTGAAATAAACTAAGAGCAAGGCTCATTTTGAAGACCTTCAAAAGAATATCAGTCCTTTTCAGTATTATGAAAAATTGCATTTTCTTCAGTTTTTTTAAGATGTGGCACTTTTCACCATGATAACTTGAAGCTTTCTCTGAAGGCAGTTTATCTTGAAGGAAATGTTTCTAAATATCTTTTTGCAATGTTTAGAAAATATGCTCAGTTTATTTTCATTTAAGACTTCAAAATTAGAGTAGTTTCAGTGTTTTATCCAGCCAACACACATGGTAAATCACTTAAGCTATCTTCAGTAAACTGATTCATTTAGCTTTTTGACATCACAGTTCAGTGAATTTTTGGATTTAAATGCATTGTTTTTTTTCTCCATGCAAAAAATCACAATATTAGATCCATTGGCTTCATTAGGTTTTTCCTTGAATATTTCTTTGATTATTCACTCTCAAAATTAATTTCCCCAGAAAACCTATGCTTTTTTATTTCAAAATTCTTGAAATATCTTTCACATGATCCTATAAAAATTAAGCGTTTTAAAATGGATTGAGGAAATTAAAGAGTGAGTTATTCGCAATATGCGAATTCTTTTATAAACTTTTCGAATTTACAACTTTAAATTTCTCCCAAGATTTTGACGCTTCATTGACAAAAAAAAAGAATAATCTTGAACCGATTTTAGAATGTATCAGTCAGTAAATCGCGGGAATTTTCATGAAATAGAAATACATGTATCAGCAGTATTTCTCTCAAGTTTATGCAAAAAATTTCCCTTTCTTCAAGATCTCACTGTACGATATTTTCACAATCTTTAAACACTGTTTTCAAGAATTTCAGCGAGTCCGTCTGGAATTGAATTTTAAAAACCACGTTCTTTTGAAAGAACAGTTGTGCATTTCTTCAAGACACTTTCAGACTTCGATAAGCATCAGAGGGAGGGGAAAACTTCCGAAAGCGACGCTATTTAAAATTAGCACGAAGGTTTGCTGCCAAATCCGTTTTGGTGAGAATGAATAAGGGACGCCGAGATACGAAAAAAAACGAAAACACAGAACAGGGAAAAACAGAAATTAAAAATTGCGGGCTTAAAATATCGCCTGACGAAATTATTATTCCCACCACACCCGTCAGTATTTTAGTTTTTGCAGAATGTTGAACTGTTTTTTGGAAAATTCGTGTGCTTCGAAGTTGTGCCCCACAAAAGATAAATGGCGCAGATTTTGAGTTGCAGAATGAAGAAAAAGCAGATTCTTGGAACAATTGGCACAAAAAAAAAGGGTTCATCATTTTTAATATTATTCAGACTCGCGCTGGGTCTTTTTTTGGCGCTTTATTTGCACAGTGTAGGCTGTCCGCTTTTTTTCCCCGGATTTCGTTTTGTTCATGCCTTCGATTTTGAACCCGGGTTTCGAACCGGGTTCGTGAACGTCCAGGAAGAATTTCTGGTCCGTACCCTTTATCAGCTCCGGCCGCTGGAATAAAATTGTAAAAGAAATTCATCAATTGGGAAGATTTTAATTTGGAAAATAATTCTGCTCCTCATATATTGAAGTCCTGAATTTTTTAAAATTCCTTATATAATGACTAACAAAATTTGAATGTGTAACTTTTAAAAAAGAAAAAAAAATCAAAAGGAAGAATGAGGTTAAAATGCCTCACTTTTCTGAAAATAACAATATAAAAACTGTTACCCTTTTTTGCTGAGTATTAAAACCCTTCAACTCTTACAAGATTTGTGTATCTTGTTGCTGGTTGACTAGATGTTGTCCAAGACACAGACATTGCACCATGAGGTAACTAGATGTTGCCCATGGTTGTGCCATGGCTCAAAGAACAAAATCAAAATTTAAAGAACAGATATTACACAATGCCCAAACACTCCATGAAGGTGAAAACCTTCATGACAAACAGCTTGAGTAATCCTCATCAAAAGGCTTCCTCAGAATTACAAACAATTATGCAATCAAATAACCTTCAGGGACTTTTCCATTGGAATGGGCCTGAGGCTGGATGGCAGCTGAAGAACAACTACTACTGTCCCAGACTTGCAAGTGTGCACATCCAGAAACTTGTGAACTGTGACTTTGAAATATTTGGAAACATACATTTGTTGAGGATATTCCTCAGGCTGTCAACGGCCAATTGTCTTGCAGATTTCTTTCACTAAAACCAATTCTTTGTTGCTGAGGTCCTCAGGACCCTCAACATATCTCCTTAATTGTGGGGAGAAGTGGGAATAAACAAAAGACTTCTTTCTAGCAGAAATAGCCTTATTCACACAACCCACAATTTCCACAAGACAGAGAGACTTAAGACCTTGCAGATTATCTACACAGGATGTCTCAACAATGGTCAGGGCACTAATGCCTGATTTTGGGCAGAAGCTTCTGCAGTTTATGTACTCCAGAATCTAGGTATATTATATAACATATTTACTTGAGTATCATGCGCCCTGGAGTAAGGCGCACACAGGGATTTTTCAGTTGGAAATTTGGCTAACATTGTATACCCCAGTAAGACACACACCCCAATTTTTAGTGAATCTAAAACCATAAAATTTTGGAAATAAATTCAAAAAATTTGACTTTAGATATGAATTGAACAAAAATCTGATCAATTTTCAACTTTTTCAGTGCAAAAGTTTTCTTGTTATATTTGTTTGAAATTTCTCCATTATAATTAAGTATAATGCTCACAAAACTTCCTAAAACTTCTTGAAAAATTTTTACCCGCTTATGACGTGCACCCCTTTTTTTCTTCTGAAATTTGAGAAAAAAAGGTGCACATGGTACTTGAGTAAATACAGTAACAATACTAATGTTGTACCCGGAAGAGGTACTTAATTGAGGGACAGATACAGCTTGGATAAGGATGAAGTAAAAAGCTGTGTCCTTCAACAAAGGTCAAGTCAGAATATAATATTTTGATAAATATATTCTACAATATATTCTCAAGGATCTAATTCTATAGGAAGTATAATTATCATTATTCTTTCTTTCCTCTTTTCTCTCACTTGAGTTGTACCCCTGTGCAACTTTTCCCCTTTGATTATTTCATTGCAATAATTTCCCAATGATAACAATACTCTACAACACACTTCATAATTGTATACATTCTGTATACATATATGGTATGTTCATTTTCTTTTTGGTTCATGCCAAACTTCTAACCAAACATAGTACAGTGGGGTCTTGAACAAATGGCCTCAATCCATTTCTGGACAAAGTTCTTTAGCCAAATCACAGTTTACCTTGAGATAATCCTGAGATAATCTTATATTGGGTGTAGAACTATTCATAAGTGAATGTACATGAAAATAAAACAATTCTTTAGAGAAATTCTAAAGAGACCTAAAGTTGTGTGTCTGAACATTTATTCAAGGGCTTGATGCTTGTTTGAGCAGCTTGATGCGCATGCATGTAAGCAGAAGAAATGAAGCAGAGTTGAACCTCTCTAAGTCAAATTTGTAGGGACCAGGTAAAAATTTGACTTGTGGGGGTTTTGATTTTTGGAGGTCTTGAGTTGAGGAAACAAACATTTGTGCTACAAGACAAATCAAAACAATCATAGGAAATTTTAAATGAGGATATTCTGGGCCTTGCTTCTTAATGCGCTTACAGCTTGTTGAACTTGGAGGCAGGGGTTCATTTGTTCAATTAGTCTATCACTTCCTTTCAAGCTGTGTCAAATACACAAATCATGTATTTTATTGATTTTATCTTTCAGGTTTCAAGGAAATACATTAGTAGCCAAAAGGCCTCAAAAAATTTGACTTAGGGAGGTTTGTGAGAAAAAGACTTTGAGCTGGGGATGCTTTCAATAATGCGTTGTTTCTAAAGGAATTCAGACAGGGACTGGAAAAAATTTGACTTAAGGAGATTTGAGGGATCAAGGTTCAACTGTGCAAACTTTATTCTATTTGTTGGTGCAATAATATTTAGAAATCACGTGTGAAATGAGGACACTACAGCTGACATTGAACAAACACTAAGTGTAAGAAATTTCAAGTACAAAATATCAAATCTTCAAGCAAGAAAAGGCAAAATCATGAAACTTTCATCTGAGGGAATTTGAAGTCACTCAATAATGAGACAAGAAGCTTTCAAATATAAATATTGAATGCTAATTCAAAACATACAATGGGCAGACATTTTTGGAGGTATGCATTCAATCCCAACCCACAACAGTTTTCAATTTGGGTCAGAGTTCATCATGTGGACTGCCTGCTGGGGTCCAAAAGCAACATTGGTTAGCCAAATTATTTGTTAGAAAAATTCCAACTGTATTCAAACCATAGGCAAGCCAGTCAATGGATGTTATGTACAACAACTGTTGACTTTTGTTGCAGTATATGATCAAGACAAACTGTCTCCAAAAAATAAGATTAAATGAAAATTTGATTTTTAGATGGAGCTAATGAAGAGAATCAAAACACAACAATCAGCCCAGGATAAGGCCAGAAATCCCTTAGGATTTCTAATTCAGAATATTCTAAAGCATGTTCCAATTTGTCTGTACAAGATCAATAGGAAGAACAGACAATTGTTGATGGCAATATCAACAATGCAAACTCTTCTGAGGCACAATCTTCACACAAATAAGGGTCATTAGTAACTTAGCTGACCAAAGTAAACTATTAAGAAATAAATTTCCTTTCATTTGTTTCTGTATTTGACCTAGAGCCCATTGTGTGTCAGTAAAACTTGCCGCTTTCCAACTTGCCACACACCCCAACCTGCTGCAAGCTGTTCAACTTGCTGCTGCCACAACTTGCCTCAGTGACAACTTGCTGCTGTGATAAGTCACCTCAGTTGGAAGTTGCTGCTGCAACAACTTGCTGCTGTATTTACTTGCTGTTTTAACAACTTGTGGCATGAATTGCAACAAGTTCACTTGCCACTGCATTTTTTTCTTTCTCTGTGAAAATTAAAATATTTCTTTTCCTCATTCAGTAAAATATATGGGAATTCCCGCATTCTTCCACTTCTTAACTATAGGCATGAGGACATATTTTAATCTCATTTATCTGGGTTTTTTCTTTCTCTGTGA